TATTTCAACTATACAGACAAAACAGGATGGATAGGATAGAGATATCCAGTTCAAGGTGATGAGAGGGGCTGTAGCCTTCCCCAGCTGTCATGGGGTGAGAGGCAGGGTACATCCCAGAAAAACCATCAGCCTGTCGCAGGGCTGACACAGACAGACTAGATAGAAGCAGTTTTGCTGATATTAAAAATAGGTGTTTCGTTGTTAAATCTGTTCCTTCCTGTCCTCCACAGAGCAAGCATCAGCAGGGATCCTTTCTACGACATGCTGGCCACCAGGAAGAGGAGGATAGCCAACAAGAAATGATGATGACTCACCCTCACTTACGTCAAGTGTCAGCAGCATTTCTGTCATCAGAGGAATCCTTGTGTGTATGTGTGTGTGTGTTTAAGAGTCTCAAAGGCGTCCGATTCATACGTTCTCCGTCAGCCCTGCGGGACATGCAGTAAAACATATGGGACTAACGTGGATCATCCCTACTTCTGCCTGAAGATTTGTCTGCACCTCAGTTCTTGGCTGTTGGGAATTAAAGATTCAAATTCAGTCTGCTACAGGCAAAAAAATAATAAAAAAAGAAGGTAAATTCTGACCACACTAGACGACGATGGAGAACAGCATGAGGACTTCATGTAACTGGAGATAGCCATAGCTGTAATCATTAGTCTTTTCATCATGCCCTAATGTGAGACTACCCCCTGCTGGACACATAAGGTGCTGCAACACATTGGGAGGATTTGAAAGCTGAATGTCCAGCTCCCAGCCACTCAGACCAACTTGTCTGGTCTCAGCGTTTTATTACCTTCACCTCCTTCGACAACTGCCAACAATATTTTGTAGATAATTCGCAACTACAGAAAGCCTCAAGCTCATCAGTCAGCTGGTCTGATTGATGTAGCCTTTAAGTGACTGTACCTGTATATGCAAACATACTCAACATGGGCTCGTACACGTCCATTTACGATATTTCCTTTTTAAAGACAAACCAAGTTGTGTGTAACGAAGCCCGCCAGCAGTAACGCATCATATTAACTCACATAGTGAAGATCCACCTCTGCGATCGTTTCTTTTGTATTTATTTTCTCATCTTTTCACAAAAAAAGCAGCCCTCCCCCCGACTCACATTATGCATGTATAGTATATAATTTACATACTGTTTTGTTTTTTCTGTATTGTGTTCACGTAGTGTGGAAATCATAATGGCTGTAGCCTTTACCCGTTCATTTTTTTTTTTCTTCTCATTTTTAGTTTGACAGCTAACAAGTTTACAATAGTGGAAGAGGGTCATTGTGCAGCTTCCCCTCACACTGTTATTACTGAGGTTTAGATAGTATATGTAATATGAAAGAGAATTAGGACAAACCCTTTCAAAATAAGATACTGGAATTTGCTGGAATACGTGTGAATGCTCTAACTGGAATCTTGAGAACCGTTTTCCCCAGACAGATCAAACCGCCCCACAAAGCCAAAACTTTCCTCACGGGCGCAGCTTTCAGCTCTAAGCACGGTTTGGCGTTTGTGCGGGAAAACAGCTCTCGAATACTTTGATGTACACTTTGAATAAAAAATACATGCTGATAAGAAAACAGCTTTTTGCGTGCATGTGAATTCAGCGAGCAGTGCTCGACTCACCAAACTTACCAGGTCTTTGGTTATTTCAAACATGGATACAGTGCTGTGAGAAAATTAGGAGTGAGCTGAGCCCAAACAGCTAGAAAAGTGTTTGTATGTAACAAAAACCTGAATACATAGGAGTGTCGTTAGTGGATCTACATTATAATTTAACCGTAGTGGAAGGTTTGCTCAACAAGAGTCTCATACAGTCTAGTCTATATCATACAAAAGCACACAGGGGCTTTAAAAAGAAAAATCCCTGCAACTCATCTCAATCAGCATTTTTTTCCATTCATTTCAATGCAGCTTGTAAACAAAGTCCAAGACCAAGAACAAATTACAATTTCTGACATTAACAAATGTATTTTAAGGCGTTTACCTTATACAATGTATAAATTCGTACATGCTAAACTTAAAGGTATAACAGCAGTTTTTCTTCCAACTTTTGTCTAGAGTTGAAAAGGAAAAAAAACAAGAACAAAAAACAACCCAAAGCATATTCATCACTGAATTTGTCCAGAGAATATGCTCAAAATTAGTGCTTCACAAAACAGAAATCTGAGAATCCTGATACAGGATTTGTTTTTTTTTTTTACATATAAAAGTAACTGATATTACAGCTCAAAATTAAATTCACAGTATTTTTTGATGCTAGACGACAAACCGTAAAAAAGGGAAAAAGTGGTCCACCACCATGACAGCAATAGCGTGGTGCTTCTTTTTGTTTTTCGAATGTTTTTTTTTTTAAAAAGGGAGAGAGCGGCATGACAAAACTAATTTCCAAAAACAAAAACCCTCTGCATCTGGTGAAGAAAGTTAAAATTACAGAGTGAATCTTAGGCTTCACAAATGGGAACGAAGATGAAAATGAAAGCTGGGAAATGTTCTCAAGTCTTTCCAGGGTTAACATGGAGGTATTAGTCAGCAAAGCTCTGTTCCCACCACTGCACTCATCACCCCCCACACCACCCTCCCTCCCTCCCCTAGCACAAATAACTCCATTAGTTTCACGGCTCCCAGTGGGATCGAAAGAAATAAAGTAATTGCACTGTTAAAGCACTCCACACCCACACCATCTTTGTTTCGTTCCTCTTCGAAGCAGGTGGATTTCTGTGATTGATGTTAACACGTTTTTTTTCAAGTCCTGAGTTCCACTGAGCAGCAGTTGAGATGTTTAAGCTCCAGGCTTTGTGTTCATACAAGTATATATTAATATTCTTCATCATAAATGTTCAACAGGTTCTTTTTAACCGATAGCTAGGAGAAATTACAGCAAATAAATAAGCCCATTTGAGAAAACAAAAGAAAAAAAAGAAAGAAAGGGGGATAGTTTAAATTTTAAAACACTTTACTTAAGGTAAAAATACAATATTATTCCTAATGAAGAAGCACCACGTCAAAAAGTTGATGTCATTCCTCTGCTGTTGTTAAAATTCGGTTGATGGATCTGAAATGACAAAGATGAGGTCTTAGTGAAGAGAAAGTATTGTAGCTAATCATGCATTTAAAAATCTCAGAGTCAGTGTTTCAGGTCACTGGGAAATCCACTGCCGCTGATTTGGCTGTAACCTACAAAACAGGGTTTGATGGCTTTAAAATTGGACTACTGTCAGCACCATTTAATTCAGCATTCCTGTGATTTTGGAGACTAAATGAATACCTGGCTGTCCATTGCAGATGGCCGTAACTTGAACAGTTTGCCGGTTTCGTGACGGAAGTAGTAGGTAGGCGTGAACGATATATCGCATTTGCGATAATATCGCGACATGATCAAGTGCAATTTTCTAACCGCAAAGGCTGCGATTATACTCTGGACATGTCCAAATTCATGGGCTGCATCCTCCTGAGGCCGCATTTGTAGACCGATTACGTCACAGCGACGCGCCGAAGGCTGTCCAAATTACTACCATATCCCAGAATTCATAGCGCGGCCCAGCCAAACTCCAGTTTCCAGCAATGGCGGCCGCTACTAAGTTTTAAAATTACTCATACTAATCTTTCTGGGTCACAAAATAAACTTTTAACATATTTTCAGGCGAGAAAGTAGCTGTGTAAACATCAAATATCTGCTCGGTTTATCAAGATATCCCATATTTGCAAAAGTGCTTCGACGTTTTCAGAGGCGTCTGCTACCCTCCGGCTAGCTCGACAGCTAGCCGGAAGCTCGAGGGTTACTGATGCGGCCGAGAACGGCACAACTCCCGGCACATCATTTTCAGATCACCGCGGAGTTTCGCTGCTCGGGTTAAACGTAATATATAAGTCACTTAGACAACCTAAAAATGTTATTGTTGGGCTTTTTTCAGTGTTTTGTTTGTTCGTGAGTAAATCGGTTTGGCTGAGATTAAAGTTATTAGATTAGATAAAATAAAACTTTATTAATCCCCCGGGTGGGTTCCTCCTTGGTTTTCACACAGCTGACTAAACGTCAAACAGAAAACTTATTAAACAGAAGTATGAGACAGTCGAGAATTTACACCAGTGTCTGGTTATATTTTAGATAGCAAGAAGCAGACGGCCGAGTTTATTAAACTCCACCGAGACAGCGGTGACGCTAATCAGAAGGCTAGACCGTCCAATTTCACGCCTTTAAATTTTAAAGGCGTGTTTGTGTGTGTGTTTATACAATTGCTATTATGTTTGCACTTTATGTGTAATGTTACTGACTGCAGAGATCAGTAAGATGTGTGTATTTTTTATTTATTAGTTTTATTTATTTAATATTATTTTTTAATTGAATGACTGTCTAGTAGTTCACAGATGTCGAAAAACTGAGTGTGGTAAAGCCACTGATTTTTTTAATGTATATTTCTGCAATCTGCACATTGTACTGACTTTCATTTTAATGTTTACACCAGGGTTCCTTGTCAGCACTTTATGCTCAGATGTTTGTAAGCTAAAAATAAACTATTGTGTATGTTCAAATATACTGTTGTGATTGAAGAAGTTAAATAAAAATGTCAGTCATCAATTCATGCATCACCTCATGTCATCATAACAGAGGTCTGTCTTCCAGGAAAGAACAGTTTAAAATTAATGTAATATAGTATTGGCCATACTATATGATGTATTGCTTGTCTTTGTTTAATAATACAGAAGACAAAGACCTTAAAAAATAATCGCATATCGCATCGCAATCGCAATATTGGGGCAAAAAATCGCAATTAGATTATTTTCCATAATCGTTCAGCCCTAGTAGATGGTCACCGCTGCCGTCAGCGTAGTCTGTGCAGCGACGTTTTTCCGATGGAAAACCACTGTCATGTTCAAAGTCTCTGTCAGAGTGGTGTCGCTTGCGGCTCTCCCTTTCCTCGCTGCTTCTGTTTCTGTGGCTCCGAGCTGCGTCTGGGCTGTGCAGTTTGGGATCGCTGTCCCGATGTCTCTTCTTTTTCTTTTCTTCTTCATTTCCGCAGCTCTGTCTGAATCTCCGTCAGACCTTCTACGGGATGACAGAGAACCAATCACATTGTTTAACAAAACCAAGATCTCAAGCTTTACGGCCAGCCTAAGACAGAAAAAGTGACCCATTATCAATAAAATGATGAAAATTCTTTCCGTTTTTAAGAAAATATTAATACTGATAGTGAGCTTTAACCACATATTATTTTCAAAAAAAAATCTAGCTTAAAACAAACAAACACATTTCCTTCTGTTTTCATTAAAGGATGGAGCGAAAGATGGCAATACGCACCCACTCTCACGGTGTCTGTCTTTATCCTTTGATTTCTTCTTTTTCTACTCTTTTTGTGTTTTTTAGTGTGGCGGGCCTCAGAGCTGTCGTCCCTGCACTGTAAAAAAAATCAAACTTGCTGAGCTTACAGTCATTTCTTTCACAATTCAACAATAAAAGCTGAGTTGCCCCATAAACTCAAATACATTAAGGGTTTCAACTAATCATTTAACGTTTTGGAGCAAAAGTTGGTCTCAGCTGAAATTTATTGCTGGCAAAATGAATGAATTCAAGTTTTACATGAGTTGAAGCTGTTGGCGCCTTTCTGTGCCTGAGCACGCATGCGCATCTCATATTTTTGGATACTACGGGGTCTACATGCACTTTTGCAAGGACTGAAAGCCACCTTGCCGTCTGCTTTAACGCGAACACGAGGCTTTTTACACCAGGAGCTGGATGCGGCTAAGGTCGTTCTTCTCAACTTTCTTAAGGCAATTAATGTTTCTTTTATTGTGTATTTATATGTGTTTACTACATCATTTAAGATTCCCCCTAGACTGTTTTACTCAATCGTGCTGCTTGAATGCCCTCGTGAGCAACTTGAATGTTTTCCATCATAAAATAGTGCTTTAAAGTTTTCGTATAAAAATCGCCATGTTACAAAACAATGAAAATCCGACAAGCATCCCTACCAAACAGGCGCGCTCATGTCTGACAAGCCTCCGCGACACCCCCTACGTGTATTTCATTAAGTGCGGCTTGTGGCCGACATACCACCGAACGAAAAACCCCCACAAAATAGGCTAGCTCGCTCATGGCTGACGACCAACGGCGGCGAACCCCCCGCCGCTTTTTATTAAAAAAAATAATTTCGGGGCGCACGCTGCCATGTCGTTTAATTTGTTAAAAGCATATTTAGCCAATAAAATGTGGTTTAGTTTCTGTGTAAACGTGGTGGTGGAGTCCTCACGGCCAGCGAGCTCCACCAAACACACAAACAGGAGGGAGAGGAAGATCAGAGAAGCAGCTACAGAGCACAAGCAGCAGAGCAGTAAATATGGGGGTATTTTAAATACGAAGGCAGACTAGAGTCTGCAAGAGTCATACCAAACAGACTTTAACCCTCTGGGGTCGACGGACGCGCCGGCATCAAAATCACATGACCAATTTAAGACGATACAGCTCAGTCTCCATTTCAACTTGGTCGAAAGTGCGGACTTCAAACTATACACCAGTTTTTGAATTGTGTCGATAGGCCACGTAAAACCAGAGTTATGATAAAAATACACGCATGTTTTTTTACAAAACAGTGGCGTTTACAGCGGAAGAACGGTAAAAACTACGTTTTCTACAGACCGCGCTAGCAAACACTCTCGCTTGCGAAAAAAAAAAAAGAAAAAACACCCCTTCCCTATTGGTGTTAGAGTTTACCATGTCAGCCAATCAAAAAAATGATATGGCAACATGTGACTTTGGTTGTTTAGGGAGAAGGGGAAGTTTTTAGGAGTGACACCCGCGACGGAAAGCGGGCGAAAAAAGAAAGAGAGCGAGTTTTCCATATGTGAGACATTAGTGACGTTTAGCGTGTTTGGAGGCTGTAGTTAGTGTGTTGTGTAGTTATTGTTTTGTATTGTGTGTCAGTTATACTGCTCAATGTCACATTTGCTTCAAAAAAAGCCATCAAAAGCAGATTCCAGTGTAAACGCTGTTCCCACATGGAAAACAGGGCTGATACACCTGTTGCCAGACCTGCAGGGTTTAGGCCTTTGGTGTTCTCCTGTCTTATACTGAACACAAACTTTTTTCTTTTTTTTTTTTGGGACTGGCACAAATAATTTGTGTGCCTTCTTATTTGATGCAGAACACCTGATTGTTTTGTAAATAGATTTAAATGGTTATATAAAAAACGCCTGAGGCCTTGGCTGCATTTTTAGGTAAATAATACCATATAACTTTGTTTGCAAAACTTGTGCATGAAGTTCCCAAATTGATATAAAATTAGTTTTCAAAAAGTGTGTCCTCCTGAATGGGGATTATAAGCTAACAAGCAGCGCTGTGTGTTTGGCAGATGGCAGGTCATGACGGAGAGTTCAACTCTCATTCCACTTTTTGTTATAAATGCATTCAAAAAATGTTGTCATAAGTGTGCTACATTGGTTGTGCATCAAAATTACTTTAAAAACACTGACAAAACCATGAGCAATTATCTGGAATAACTAATTTTAACATCTTATTTCTTAAGGCTGTATTTTTAGCAACAACACTTAATGTGTTTTAAAAACAAAATGGTAGGTTTATAAATGAGTCTGAGTCTTATTTGATTTCCTTGTTTTAGGTCTCAAACATAGTCCAGCATCAACGAACCATCAGTTTGGAAGGGTTACTGATATTTTTTCGCGACGGCGAGACCAAACTCTTCTTAACATGTCTGGTGAGTATGCAAATCTACTCAATCTTCAGTTTTAGTTTACAGAGACTTATATGTACTGTTGTTAATTTTGCATAGGATACAGATCCAGTTGAGAGGGCATCCTCACTGTTCTGGAGGACTATGTGGGACCCAACTCGCAGTCCACAGGGGTCAACACTGCCATTGTTTTGGAAGAGGACATTATTCTTGATGATCTGCCAGACCTTCCCACTGCCTTTGCCTACCTGGCCTACTTTATGGACTCAACATGGAGTTTCCCAAAGAACTCAAGTACACATTTGTTTGCTGTATGGAAACCAGATAGAAGAGTTCACATCCTGCCATCTGATGTTTTGAATCTGTTTGTTAGCATTCTGTCTGACAATACCACACCTTTAAAATTGTAACATTTATTACAAAAATTTGACTTTTTTTTTTTTTCATTTCCTGTGTCTTTATTTTCATTAGGATGAGACTTGGATGAACTGCCGTTATCCAGAGTGCCACAGTTCTCTTGGTCTGATTCCTCTGAAGACTCTTGGCTGTACGGCACCAGGAAGGATGCCCCGTTTCCTACAGGGTTGTGATCCCCATTACTGAAAGGCATGCCGCTGACTCGGTTTAGTGGACGCGGAATAAAACGAACGTCTGGTTGGACGTCTGAGGTAGACTGTGAGGAGGACAAAGAGCTGGAGGAGGAGGAGCTGCTGGCGGAGGACGGCTGGCAGTAAGAGGAGGAAGAAGCAGATGGGCGGTTCGGTTTGCTTAGCCCAATTGAAAATGAAAGCTTCTGTCGTTTGTCGCTGTCTGGAATCATTGTGGGCCGGCTTACTGAGTGGGAGATGGAAGCAGAGGAAGCAGAAGAAGCTAGTCCATGGTTTGGTTTCCCCACCGCACTGCCGCTGGTGCTGGGCTTGGAGCTTGTGGGATAGTCCCTCAGAGATCCATTCCCATTAACATGAAGAGAACTCTGAAGGAACAAGAAGTCACAACAACAGGTTTTTAGAAGAGAAACACTGGGTTTAACAAAAACAACAACATTATCAGTACCCTCAGGTGAGGAAGTACCTTGTTCATGTGTGGTGGCAGCTGGGGACCTATGAAGCCAACACTGTTTGATGCATGGTGGCGATGGTGCGTGGGATCACCACCGGCCGGGGAGATGACTGACCAGATATGCCAGCGTTATGGTTCAAGTGGCTGTAGTCCCCAGTTTTTTTCACATCTGTGCACCTGATGACATGGAAAAAAGAATATTAACCATGACAAAGCATCAACATTATAACATTAGGTTATAATAATACATTTTCTACAAGAAAAGTGGGAATAAACATGTCTACATTATTAAATAATGATGGGAAAAGTTCTACTGAAGGAATAAGCCTAGAATGTTTAAAAATACCGATGTTTACTCACTTGATGTAGAAGAGGACATAGGCCTGCTGGTTGAGAACGGTCCTAATGTCACTGACTGACACGGACGAGTCATTCATCTGAAACCACTGCCATTGCTGGCCTGTGAGACAGAATGAGAGAGATGTGACACAGCAGATTCAGTTTCTGAATTGAATTTGAGCTAAAAAGAAGAATCTTATGGTTATATAGGGGTCTTTTTTTTTCTTTCTTTCAATGCATACAAAGTATTTTTCTCTGTTTGCATTCAGTTTTCTGCTGAAATGTGTTGTTTATGGTGTGTGTTTGTTTGTACTAAGCAACAGCAGCATTCAAACAGATTCGGGCACAGCCAGTACCTTAATATAGCAGAAATAGTGTCCAGCATGACAACTCAATCCAGAGTGAACCAGCACAGCATACAGCCTGTAGAGCTGGGGCTCCCCGTGGGACTGAGACATGAAGGGCCGCAGATCCAGATGCTCCAAATACTTCACATCCTGATGACCACCAAACAAAAAATTTCAAACATTACATGCAAATATCCTGTTTTATAATAAAACAAAGCATCTGTCATGTATCTTTATGACTTAAGCAGACACTATTGGCCATTTACCTTTGTGATTTTGCCTCCACTGAAGTC